ATTTTATGCACATGTGTTGGATCCACCCATCTGGACTATAAGCTCTTCAGGGAAGAGGCTGTCTTCTCTTGCTTTAATGCCCCTCTGTAGAAATTATAAAAGTTTTCCTCAGGGTAGCATCAGTTATGCTTGCTGGTATTGTCAATGATATATAAGGTGTCCTTGAATTTCTGTCTTAAGTTGCTATCTTCCCCATAGCTATTCCTCCTGGTCACTGGATGACACTTAAATAGTTTATTTTACACGTATAGGCCCTGGGAACAGAGAAGAAGCTCACACGAAAGGAAAACATCACAATTAACTGGGAACATAACATGTTAGGATAGAATATCACTATTACATATGACGACCAGGAAAGCAGTCCTACAGCAAGCAAGCCCCTTTTTCTGGTTTGACAACAACATCAGCAATAGTGTGTAAGATTACATAGAGATAAACTAACAAATGGTAATATATTCTTTATTTAGGAAAAAAAACCTAAGAGCTAAAACCTTACTAAAACGATGGCCCATATACTTTATTTCCTTTAAGTAATTAAAATACTATTAATTACATAAAGTCTATTGCCACATCCATCAAATAAACTATACTATTCTTTTTTAATATGGACTTTCCTTCAGTTAATGAAAGAAGAGAAGATGTCAAAAAAGCAGAAACTTCCAGATATGTAAACAGAGGAAATGTTTTTCCTTATTCAAATCATAAAACATGTTTTTTCTTATTCAAATCATAAAAACTCATTAAGAGGTAATAAAGCAAAAAATATAATATGACCAAAACTATTAAATTTTTAAAAGCATTAACAATTTTAAAGTAAGACGGTGGCTGTTCTATAATTGCAAGTTAAAGATAGTTGAGTTCACGCCCACAAGAACTTACAACTATAAAATATGCTTAGGTTGGACTCTGAGAATTTATTTTTAGATAGACGGCTCAAATAGTTCCTCTGTAAGGAACTGGAAACCCCGCAGTTTTAAATTTGTATAAAAAGCTTATGTTTTATTCTTGTTTTAGACTCAAGACTCAAGAGACAGGAATTTCAGGTTACTGGTATATAGAATAATTCCCATGTTATTTTCTCTCTTGTTTTGATCCTCAGTTTCTCTTGAAAAGCACTTCAACTATTTTCACTCCCTAGTCTCTATGTTGGTTTGACTTGGTTATTACTGGCATCAGAGGATGATGACTTTTTTTTTCTCTAACATCTTTAAGGGTAGTGAAGTTGGTCTGTAAAAGGAAATGTTATTTCTTTTCAACGTTAAGTCACAGTGATATGGAAGCTTTATCCAGGAAGAGAGCTGAATTATCAACTAGAAGGTTCTGTTTCCAGGTCCAAATCTAAGGTCTCTGTTATATGGAGTCAATAACAGAGGTACATAGAATGGGCCTTTACACTCTGTTTCTGTTCTCTATGTATACATTTTGTTTAGGTTACACATAAAATTTGCTTTACCCTCGATAGGTATGCTTTTTTTTTTTTTTT